TCAGAAAGAGAACTGTTGGTGGGCTTAACCTTATATACTCAGGGAGAGAACTGTTGGTGGGCTTAACCTTATATCCTCAGGGAGAGAACTGTTGGTGGGCTTAACCTTATATCCTCAGGGAGAGAACTGTTGGTGGGCTTAACCTGATATACTCAGGGAGAGAACTGTTGGTGGGCTTAACATTATATCCTCAGGGAGAGAACTGTTGGTGGGCTTAACCTTATATCCTCAGGGAGAGAACTGTTGGTGGGCTTAACCTTATATCCTCAGGGAGAAAACTGTTGGTGGGCTTAACCTTATATCCTCAGGGAGAGAACTGTTGGTGGGCTTAACCTTATATCCTCAGGGAGAGAACTGTTGGTGGGCTTAACCTTATATACGCAAGGAGAGAACTATTGGTGGGCTTAGCCTTATATCCTCAGGGAGAGAACTATTGGTGGGCTTAGCCTTATATCCTCAGGGAGAGAACTATTGGTGGGCTTAGCCTTATATCCTCAGGGAGAGAACTATTGGTGGGCTTAACCTTATATCCTCAGGGAGAGAACTGTTGGTGAGCTTAACCTTATATAGTCAGGGAGAGAACTGTTGGTGGGCTTAACCTTATATACTCAAGGAGAGAACTGTTGGTGGGCTTAACATTATATACTCAGGGAGAGAACTGTTGGTGGGCTTAACCTTATATCCTCAGGGAGAGAACTGTTGGTGGGCTTAACCTTATATACTCAGAAAGAGAACTGTTGGTGGGCTTAACCTTATATACTCAGGGAGAGAACTGTTGGTGGGCTTAACCTTATATACTCAGGGAGAGAACTGTTGGTTGGCTTAACCTTATATCCTCAGGGAGTGAAGATGGAAAATATATGCACGGATGAGGAATGATGATGATATCCAGATTTATCAAATGTATGCTAGAATGAGAGCTTATTTCAGGTAAAATAATTAGGGCTTACTTTAATACCAGACATATATATCCTCAGGGAGAGAACTGTTGGTGGGTTTTACCTTCTATAGTCAGGAAGAGAACTGTTGGTGGGCTTAACCTTATATACTCAGGGAGAGAACTGTTGGTGGGCTTAACCTTATATAGTCAGGGAGAGAACTGTTGGTGGGCTTAACCTTATATACTCAGGGAGAGAACTGTTGGTGGGCTTAACCTGATATAGCCAGGCAGAGAACTGTTGGTGGGCTTAACCTTATATACTCAGGGAGAGAACTGTTGGTGGGCTTAACCTGATATACTCAGGGAGAGAACTGTTGGTGGGCTTAACATTGTATCCTCAGGGAGAGAACTGTTGGTGGGTTTAACCTTATATACTCAAGGAGAGAACTGTTGGTGGATTTAACCTTATATACTCAGGGAGAGAACTGTTGGTGGGTTTAACCTTATATAGTCAGGGAGAGAATTGTTGGTGGGCTTAACCTTATATAGTCAGGAAGAGAACTGTTGGTGGGCTTAACCTTATATACTCAGGGAGAGAACTGTTGGTGGGCTTAACCTTATATCCTCAGGAAGTGAAGATGGAAAATATATGCACGGATGAGGAATGATGATGTCCAGATTTATCAAATGTATGCTAGAATGAGAGCTTATTTCAGGTAAAATAATTAGGGCTTACTTTAATACCAGACATATTAAATGACTATCATTCACTGTCTTTGGGACATTTGGTCCCATCAAAGTAGGGATGCAAAATGTTGACATCTGATAAACGGCAGAAGAAAAGATAATTAGATCACTACCAAGATACTTTAAAAAGCTCTAGTCTAAAGAACTAATGTTTTGATGAAGAAACTAAAATGACAATATTACCAATAAATGTAGGACAGATAAATCACGTGGAAAACCAGGAGGCAATCAATTGATGAGCAAACAATCAGGTAGCAGGTAAAAGATTTGTTGAATAGAATGTGAGAAAATTGCAGATCAGTGGAAGAAATGAATAACTGTTAACATTCCAAAGAAAGATAATTCTAGGGACTGTAACAACTGGAGAGGAATTACTCTGATTATCAGTAATGTTTATGCCCTTTTGTAAAATAATAATTCTCAATATAATTAAATGGGTAGTAGACAAAACCTTGAGAGTGGAACAAGCGGGTTGTCAGCCCAGTAGAAGATTTTTAGACCAAATAAATACTCTGAAACTTATTTTAGAGGGATTTGTAGAAAATAAACAAGCCCTTAGTTCGATCGTCTTTGACTCTAAGAAGGCTTCTGATATCTGACACAGAACATCTCTATGTTGGCAATTTTGGAATGCTAGGGTATACCTAAAAAAAAAAAAAAGACATTTTTAAAGCAATTTCTGAAGACTCAGAGTGAGCAGTGCGAACAGATAATGGTTTCAGTGACTGATCTGAAGACTCAGAGTGAGCAGTGCGAACAGATAATGGTTTCAGTGACTGGTCTGAAGACTCAGAGTGAGCAGTGCGAACAGATAATGGTTTCAGTGATTGGTCTGAAGACTCAGAGTGAGCAGTGCGAACAGATAATGGTTTCAGTGATTGGTCTGAAGATGATACCAGGGTGAACCAGGGATGCATTTGATCTCCTCTGTTATTTGGGGTAACTATTGACTAGGTGAAGAAACAAATGTTAACAGCGGCACTGACTGGGTGGTGAAACAAATGTTAACAGCGGCACTGACTGGGTAAAGAAACAAATGATAAAAGCGGCACTGACAGGGTGGAGAAACAAATATTTTGTTGGAAACAGCGGCGCTGACTTGGTGGAGAAACAAATGTTTTGTTCTAAACAGCAGCACTGACTGGGTGGAGAAACAAATGTTATGTTGGAAACAGCGGCACTGACTGGGTGGAGAAAAAAATGTTGTGTTGGAAGCAGCGGCACTGACTGGGTGGAGAAACAAATTTTATGTTGGAAACAGCAGCACTGACTGGGTGGAGAAACAAATGTTATGTTGGAAACAGCGGCACTGACTGGGTGGAGAAACAAATGTTATGTTGGAAACAGTGGCACTGACTGGGTGGAGAAACAAATGTTTTGTTGGAAACAGCAGCACTGACTGGGTGGAGAAACAAATGTTGTGTTGGAAACAGTGGCACTGACTGGGTGGAGAAACAAATGTTATGTTGGAAACAGTGGCACTGACTGGGTGGAGAAACAAATGTTTTGTTGGAAACAGCAGCACTGACTGGGTGGAGAAACAAATGTTATGTTGGAAACAGCGGCACTGACTTGGTGGAGAAACAAATGTTTTGTTCTAAACAGCAGCACTGACTGGGTGGAGAAACAAATGTTATGTTGGAAACAGCGGCACTGACTGGGTGGAGAAACAAATGTTATGTTGAAAACAGCGGCACTGACTAGGTGGAGAAACAAATGTTATGTTGGAAACAGCAGCACTGACTGGGAGGAGAAACAAATGTTATGTTGGAAACAGCGGCACTGACTTGGTGGAGAACTCTTGGAAGATCTTGATTTTGCTAATGATATGGTTCTACTAAGTAAAAACAGCAAGGGAAAGATGATTTAGCCAATTTAGCATCAAAATGTGGACTACAACTTAGTTATAAAATGATAAAAATATTGAAAACATCAGTAACATATCAAACAAAAATAACACTAGAGACAAAAAGAATAAAAGTAACAGATCAGCTGACCATCTTTAGTTAACAATCTTGACAGTCAAGGAAAGAAATGTACCAGCATGACAACAACTGGCCAGGCATCAGCAGATTGGAAAAACTGAAAATTCTATAGTTAGCAGTGCCAAGTTGGGCATTTTGCTTTGTAATGTTATTTCTGTTTGAACATTTGCCAGTGACAGTTGGAGAACCCTTAGAGACATGGAACGAAAGTTAAATGTGTTCAAAAACAATTGTCTGAGGAAAGTGATGAACATAAAATAGAATAAATTCAACAGGAATTGTGAAATCAGAGAAATGTCTGGGGAACCGCCTGTATTGAGAGGTAGACAGAGAAGATGGGGCTATACTGGACACATTTTATGAAGAGACAAAGAGAGAATCAACAAACAAACACTTAAATGGGAAACTGAGGGATGTGGCATGGAAATAAACACAGAAAAGATTAAACTAATGATTAATAATCCAGCTTGCATAACTACACCAATGTATGTCTCAGGTCACAAATTAGAACAAGTCCATTATTTCAGTAATATAGAATCTGTCGTGACCTAGGATCCAGGATTATCAGTCCTTGCCAATCAGTAAATAATACAGAGATCCAAAAACTAAGCTTCCACTGCTAACAGCATTAACTATTAGTATATTTACACACAACTGGAAAACATGGACATAAACAGCACCAACTATTAGTATATTTACACAAAACTGGGAAACATGGACTAAACAGCACCAACTATTAGTATATTTACACACAACTGGGAAACATGGACATAAACAGCACCAACTATTAGTATATTTACACAAAACTGGGAAACATGGACCTAAACAGCACCAACTATTAGTATATTTACACACAACTGGGAAACATGGACCTAAACAGCACCAACTATTAGTATATTTACACAATACTGGGAAACATGGACCTAAACAGCTGAACTGGAAAAGAAGATACAAGCACTGGAAATGAGATCTTTCATAAAAATTCTTGGCATTAATTACATAGAGACCACACCATAAGGTTTGACGAGGTTTGCTGTATACTTATCCAGTACACTGGCAAACATAAAACTTATTTCACATATGTGAGACATGAAAGAAAGCTACTCTGTTGACAGATTTATGTCAAGGCAACTTATTTCACATATGTAAGACATGAAAGAAAGCTACTCTGTTGACAGATTTATGTCAAGGCAACTTATTTCACATATGTGAGACATGAAAGAAAGCTACTCTGTTGACAGATTTATGTCAGGCAACTTATTTCACATATGTAAGACATAAAAGAAAGCTACTCTGTTGACAGATTTATGTCAAGGCAACTTATTTCACATATGTAAGACATGAAAGAAAGCTACTCTGTTGACAGATTTATGTCAAGGCAACTTATTTCACATGTGTAAGACATGAAAGAATGCTTTTCTCGGGGAGACACCAGTGACAGAAAACTGGCTGCTCTGCCCCACAAAAGTGGCCAACCCACCAAACAAGGACTTCCGTGTACCAAAGTGTCGTATCCTGTACAATCCTGACATCTGATTGGCTGGAATCTGCCAGGTGATTTCAGCCTCGCTGTGACCCAGGATGGTACTTGTCCTGATCCATTTAAATCTGAAATACCACAAGATAATAGTGTCAGGTGAGACAAAAGTGTCAGGTGAGACAACAGTGTCAGGTGAGATAATAGTGTCAAGTGAGACAACAGTGTCAGGTAAGATAATAGTGTCAGGTGAGACAACGGTGTCAGGTAAGATAATAGTGTCAGATAAGATAATAGTGTCAGGTAAGATAATAGTGTCAGGTGAGACAACAGTATCAGGTGAGACAACAGTGTCAGATAAGATAATAGTGTCAGGTGAGACAACAGTGTCAGGTGAGACAACAGTGTCAGGTGAGACAACAGTGTCAGGTGAGACAACAGTGTCAGGTGAGACAACAGTGTTTCGTGAGACAACAGTGTCAGGTGAGACAACAGTGTCAGGTGAGACAACAGTGTCAGGTGAGACAACAGTGTCAGGTGAGACATTAGTGTCAGGTGAGACAACAGTGTCAGGTGAGACAACAGTGTCAGGTGAGACAACAGTGTCAGGTAAGATAATAGTGTCAGGTAAGATAATAGTGTCAGGTGAGATAAAAGTGTCAGATAAGATAATAGTGTCAGGTAAGATAATAGTGTCAGGTAAGATAATAGTGTCAGGTGAGACAACGGTGTCAGGTGAGACAACAGTGTCAGGTAAGATAATAGTGTCAGGTGAGATAAAAGTGTCAGATGAGACAACAGTGTCAGGTGAGATCAAAGTGTCAGGTGAGATAACAGTGTCAGCTAAGATAATAGTGTCAGGCGAGACAACAGTGTCAGGTAAGATAATAGTGTCAGGTGAGAAAACAGTGTCAGGTGAGATAAAAGTGTCAGGTGAGACAACAGTGTCAGGTGAGAAAACAGTGTCAGATGAGATAACAGTGTCAGGTAAGATAATAGTGTCTGGTGAGATAATAGTGTCAGGTAAGATAATAGTGTCAGGTGAGATAACAGTGTCAGGTAAGATAATAGTGTCAGGTGAGATAACAGTGTCAGGTGAGAAAATAGTGTCAGGTAAGACAACAGTGTCAGGTAAGATAATAGTGTACAGTGAGATAAAATTGTCAGGTAAGATAATAGTGTCAGGTGATACAACGGTGTCAGGTGAGATAATAGTGTCAGGTGAGACAACAGTGTCAGGTAAGATAAGTGTCAGGTGAGACAACAGTGTCATAAAAGATAATAGTGTCAGGTGAGATAAAAGTGTCAGGTAAGATAATAGTGTCAGGTGAGACAACAGTGTCAGGTAAGATAATAGTGTCAGGTGAGATAACAGTGTCAGGTGAGAAAATAGTGTCAGGTGAGACAACAGTGTCAGGTGAGATAACAGTGTCAGATGATAAAACAGTGTCGGGTGAGATAACAGTGTCAGGTGAGAAAACAGTGTCAGGTGAGACAACAGTGTCAGGTGAGACAACAGTGTTTCGTGAGACAACAGTGTCAGGTGAGACAACAGTGTTTCGTGAGACAACAGTGTCAGCAAACATCATCAATAGCAGAAAGCATCAATCATTAGCAGACAGTATCATTTATCTGCAGAGAGCATCAATCATCAGGAGGCAGCATCAGTCATCAGAAGACAGTATTACTCATCAGCATACATCATCAATCATCAACTGACAACATTATTCATCAGCTGACAACATTATTCATCAGCTGACAGCTTCAATCATTGGCAGACATCAATAATCATCAGCATACATCATCAATCATCAACTGACAGACAGCATCAATGATCAGCTGACAGCATCAATCATCAGCTGACAGCATCAATCAATGGCAGACATCATAAATCATTGGCAGACATCATCAATCATCAGCATACATCATCAATCATCAGCATACATAATAAATCATCAGCTGACAGAATCAATCATCAGCATACATCATCAATCATCAGCATACATTATCAATCCTCAGCTGACAGACAGCATCAATCATCAGCTGACAGACAGCATTAATCATCAGCTGACAGACAGCATCAATCATCAGCTGACAGACAACATCAATCATCAGCTGACAGACAGCATCAATCATCAGCTGACAGACAGCAGCAATCATCAGCTGACAGACAGCATCAATCATCAGCTGACAGACAGCATCAATCATCAGCTGACAGACAGCAGCAATCATCAGCTGACAGACAGCATCAATTTTCAGCTGACAGACAGCAGCAATCATCAGCTGACAGACAGCATCAATCATCAGCTGACAGACAGCATCAATCATCAGCTGACAGACAGCAGCAATCATCAGCTGACAGACAGCATCAATCATCAGCTGACAGACAGCAGCAATCATCAGCTGACAGACAGCAGCAATCATCAGCTGACAATCTTCAAGCCTGGACTATTTACAGGTCTGACAAACTAACACCTGCTCTCTTTCTTCTCTTCTAAGCATCCGAAGAAAATTTAAACACATTCATATATCCACTGGAAGTATCACAATTTGATGATCGAGGCACTGAATACTTCGCAGCCATAGTTAATAACACTTAACACTTCACAAAAGCTTATTTCGTTAACATACAATAGAAAGCATGTAAAAATCAGTTCTTTTATTTATTTAACTCCGAAAAACCTGTAATCGCCCATGTCGCACAGCTGACGCCCACTCGACCGGAACTGGGTCTTGCCTCATCAGCTGGAGAAGGCATTGGAGAAACTTACATAAACTGCAGAAGATAGAAAACCCGGACCGTGAGCGTATTCAATATGGCGTTCCAATGACCCACATAAAGAGTTCATGGAACTGAAGAACAAAAAGATAACACTAGAAACACTGGTGACAACAAGCACTGGCTGAGAGCCTCACCTGGTGTCCCAGTGTGCATCTGTGTACTTGACCTGCCAGTTGCCAGGCCCGGCCAGATTTTCCACAGCCAGGAATGTATCATTGGTCTGAAACAGATGGACCCACACACAAGTACACTGACAGATTTGCATTCATCTCAACCATTACTTGCTTTTGTATGAACTAGTTCTACTTCTCACTTCAATGAATATATTTCAAAAATATATGTTCACTTCATAAAGTTCATTAAATTTACCTGTCATATGTTTCACCCTCCCAGATCTACTACTATCGGTTTGTGCACATCTAACTTGTCTGAGTTGAGTTATGAGTTGGATTATCTTCACGGCACTCCAGACGCATCCATAGGTGCTCAGATTCCTCCTTCAACTTATTCACACAGTTAATAGCGCAAATCTTATGTTGGCTAACAAAACTTCTTGTGTGTCCGGTGTGCCTCTCATGCTTGGATGTGCCTCTCATTACTTCCTATTCTCATATTCTTAGCATCAACACTTTACTTCCAAAATTCTCGTCTGTAATGTATGTTTTTGTGATTAACATTTTAAAAAAAAAATATGCTGATGAATGCTTTTTTGAGCCACAACATTTATCTGTTGTTCATGACTGTGATTAAGTGAAGCTGGCTAGTTCAGCTTGACATTTTGACTGATAACTTTTCATGAAAAAAAAAAAGAAAAAAAAACATGAATATAAGAGACCAGCAGTCACTTGGTCAAAGAGAATATATAAAAAAAAGAAGATACTAGATGGACTCCAGTGACACCACAGGGCTGTTGATATTGGAGGAAATACAAGACAGTTTACATTACAGACTAGGGCAACAAACTCCATGTAAAATCTTGCTAACTATTGTACTGTAGATATTTTCTAAAGCTACAAGATGATCTTCTGTACTGTAGATATTTTCTAAAGCTACAAGATGATCTTCTGTACTGTAGATATTTTCTAAAGCTATGAGATGATCTTCTGTACTGTAGATATTTTCCAAAGCTACAAGATGATCTTCTGTACTGTAGATATTTTCTAAAGCTGCAAGATGATCTTCTGTACTGTAGATATTTTCTAAAGCTACAAGATGATCTTCTGTACTGTAGATATTTTCTAAAGCTACAAGATGATCTTCTGTACTGTAGATATTTTCCAAAGCTACAAGATGATCTTCTGCACTGTAGATATTTTCCAAAGCTACAAGATGAACTTCTGTACTGTAGATATTTTCCAAAGCTACGAGATGATCTTCTGTACTGTAGATATTTTCCAAAGCTACGAGATGATCTTCTGCACTGTAGATATTTTCCAAAGCTACAAGATGATCTTCTGCACTGTAGATATTTTCCAAAGCTACAAGATGATCTTCTGCACTGTAGATATTTTCCAAAGCTACAAGATGATCTTCTGTACTGTAGATATTTTCCAAAGCTACAAGATGATCTTCTGTACTGTAGATATTTTCCAAAGCTACAAGATGATCTTCTGTACTGTAGATATTTTCCAAAGCCACAAGATGATCTTCTGTACTGTAGATATTTTCCAAAGCTACAAGATGATCTTCTGCACTGTAAACGATGGATTGACGGGGTCTCCGAAACCTGCCAAAAGCATGGCCTCAGAACATCAGATGCTGCCCGCCTTGCTTATGACAGGAACTTGCATCTCCCCACAACGCTTAGCGGCATACGTGGAAGGAAAAAGTAAGTAAGTAAAGATATTTTCTAAAGCTACAAGATGATCTTCTGTACTGTAGATATTTTCTAAAGCTACAAGATGATCTTCTGTACTGTAGATATTTTCTAAAGCTACAAGATGATCTTCTGTACTGTAGATATTTTCTAAAGCTGCAAGATGATCTTCTGTACTGTAGATATTTTCTAAAGCTGCAAGATGATCTTCTGTACTGTAGATATTTTCTAAAGCTGCAAGATTATCTTCTGTACTGTAGATATTTTCTAAAGCTGCAAGATGATCTTCTGTACCAGCTCAGTGTTGTAGAAACTCTCGTTGCTGACATCTCTAATGGCCCAGTTTTGCATATATTATGCTTTTTCTGCAGAAACTATAATCTGTTATGTCCTCTGTAGAAGCTTATATCACCTGTAGGTAACTGAGCTAATACCTGTCACCTGTAGATTTGTCTAAGTTAACACTGAAAACATGGGATATGTCACCTGTAGACATACCTGAGTTAACACTGACAATGTGGGACATGTCACCTGTAGATCTACCTGAGTTAACACTGAAATTGTGGGACATGTCACATGTAGATATATTTGAGTTAACACTGACAATGTGGGACATGTCACCTGTAGATATACCTGAGTTAACACTGACAACGTGGGAGATGTCAACTGTGGATATAACTGACCTAACACTGACAATGTGGGACATGTTACCTGTAAATATACCCAAATTAACAGTCACAATCTGGGACATGTCACCTGTAGATATATCTGAGTTAACACCCACCTAACTAAATACAAAGACAGCACGCACACAAAAGTTTTGCCTGCTTAGAGAAAATGTCTTGTGGTATCATAATATACAAGGCATAAATAAAAATAGGAGAGCGATGGAGAGCAAGAGGTAGACCAAGAACAGAATGGAAAGATATGATTAGAAAAACTCTACAAATCTACACAACATGATGTGTATATGACTGAGGCGGTCTAGAAGAGCAACAACCAGAAGTTCACATCTACCTGGACATGCGATGTGGTAAACGAGTAAAGGAAGAAAAGAAAAAAAAATGAACACCTACCTTGAGATCATTCCTGGGGTTGGCACTCACAAACTTGACTGTGACCACAGAGCCCTATGTGCAAGCAACAAACCACAGATGTATGCAAGTCACACACAAACTTGTTCACCAACACAATCAGGTCAGCACATACATAACAGTCTTACATAACAGTCTTTACAAGCATCAAAGTACACAGACTTCCAGTTCAATCTGGCATATAGGCAGGCCAACTGTTTTAGCTTTAGTTATTTGCTTCTAGCCAAGGGCAGCTGTTGCATTTTTCTCATATGTGGATTGAAAGTGTATATTTCCGTTGCTCAGCTACAGAGGAGTGCATAGCGCAATGCTGAGCTGAACATTTCCTTTGGAATGCTTTTCAACAGGCAAGGTGGTTTAAGTTGTCAGCTGCAGATTCAGAAACAAGCGGGAATGGTCACTAAAACAACTGGGCAAAGCTGCTGAAAGAGTTTTGAGCTGGCTCTGGATGCAAGGGAGTGTTGTAGGTGATGGGCCTTGGTAGACTGGTCCAAGTCCCTAGGGGAAAAGAACATCTTATCCCTTAAAAGCCAAAGTGTCAATAACCTCAATGTGATACCTGTTTTACCCAGATTCTGACAGAATCATCCATTGCTTTCCTTTTAAATCATAACATGCTGACCCAGTCAGATTCTTACTTGAAAAGTCATTCTAGTCTCACCTAGTTCCCTGCACAGCCAACCACCTGTGAAATCCGATATTGGGCCTGGAGTATGAACTTGCCTCCTGGACTCTGTATTGTTACCTTCTTTCTGACTGTTTCTAGTTGTTCTGGTTTCCCTCCATGTTTTAAGATCATGTCTGCTTCCAATAATTATTATAAATACATGTGGCTTATTACACAGTGTATTAATACACTTGATTTTCATCATGGCATTACCTTGGTCCCGGTGTTCACTTAGACAACCAACATGTGCTATAATACTCTGTCTTATGCAATAGAACTTAAACTACTTACAAAACATCATGGAATGTTTTTTGCACTATCTGGCACAGGTCACAAAGCTTAAGTAGGTCTGCCATGTCTCCCAACCATCGACTTCTTACCAGCCGGCCTTCGTTTCCATGGCACTGTTCTCTTGCAGGGGTCTTCCCTGCCGCTCTTACCCAGAACACATACTCAACTAACCCAAGCCTCCTGAGTTTGAATTTGGCCAGGACGTCTCCTCATCACTTTTTGCACACTAACTATTTGTAAAACATAAAATGTTTGTTCAGGTACCTTCAGGTGGTTGGCACTGCTATCATCTCTTATATCTCAGTTTGTTAACCTTTTTCTTTCCCACCAATCATGCACATTTCACTAGTCTGCACTCTTAGGTTTATGCACTCCTGGGAACTTCCCAAAATCTAATGTAGGTGTCTTAGTTGGTTGTCACTTAGGTTCCGCTTCTTGAGATTGATGACAGAAACTACCCCCTAGTTAACCTTAGCTTACAATGTTGATTCTTAAGGTTCAGAGTTCACTGACTCTTGAAATGGCTGAGTTTTTACCACGGTCACACACAAAAACTTCAAACTTCATGGTCAGACAAAATAAGCAATTTCAGAGTTCTAGAAGAGGTGATGGCACAAAGGCAACCTGTCACAAACATCACACAGAGAATGTAGCTATTAGTCAGCCACATTAGGAGATGTGACAATCTGCCACAAGTTGTGACAACTGACCAGATTTGTTTGAAGGAGCCTGCAGTAGAAGATTCTTGACAGCTTTATGTGCTGGCACAGACAGGTGTCAGCACAGGAGCTGATACACTGTCAGAGATCACAACATGTGGAACTGCATCAATGCTAGTACTGGTTACAGGACAGTATCTTGTTGTCACTGAATACAAGTGGACAGGAAACAAAGAAGAGAAAATGACACTGTCAGAGATCACAACATGTGAAGCTGCATCAATGCTAGTACTGGTTACAGGACAGTATCTTGTTGTCACTGAAGACGAGTGGACAGGAAACAAAGAAGAGAAAATGACACTGTCAGAGATCACAACATGTGAAGCTGCATCAATGCTAGTACTGGTTACAGGACAGTATCTTGTTGTCACTGAATATGAGTGGACAGGAAACAAAGAAGAGAAAATGACACTGTCAGAGATCACAACATGTGAAGCTGCATCAATGTTAATACTGGTTACAGGACAGTATCTTGTTGTCACTGAATATGAGTGGACAGGAAACAAAGAAGAGATAATGACACTGTGAGAGATCTCAACATGTGAAGCTGCATCAATGCTAGTACTGGTTACAGGACAGTATCTTGTTGTCACTGAAGACGAGTGGACAGGAAACAAAGAAGAGAAAATGACACTGTCAGAGATCACAACATATGAAGCTGCATCAATGTTAATACTGGTTACAGGACAGTATCTTGTTGTCACTGAATATGAGTGGACAGGAAACAAAGAAGAGATAATGACGCTGCCCACTGAAATGGGCACTGTATGCCCGCTGGAACAGTCAGAACCTAGTCCCAGGAAAGTCAGTTCTCAACAAGTTTACCCAAACAAGCTGTGACTGTGAACAAATATTCCACACATGAGCATGCATTACCTGGGTATATGAAGGCTTGGCATCTACCAGGACAGATCCAAAGTCTTTGCCAAAGGGAGCGCTGTCAAACACCACACCAGGCAGGAAGGACAGCTGCTTGTCCAGCAGGTCCGGCGGACTAGGTCCAGGTGCTGAAGGTGTTCCCTGGTGGGAGAGGTTCATTACTTTAATTTCAGACAAATTAGCTATACATTATAAACAAACATCTTCGTGTACTTTATATACAAACATCTTTAGTATACTTTATCATAAATTTGTTTAGCTTAACTTTATATACAAATACTGTTAGTATACTTTAAACACACATATCTTAAGCAAAGCGTTATACACAAACATCTCATATGTTCTATAGACAAACAACTTAGATACTCTTTACAAACAGTCTAACAGTTCCTCCATCTTGGCATGACCAGAGCTGATGGTTGATATGTGATGTTTAAAGTTAGTTAAACTAGGATATCTGCTGTCCACCTCCTGCATGGCACTGTGTGGGTCAGGACTGTCAGACTCAACTCCACACAGAACATAGCGTTTATGTGTATGTGAGTATATAGGTGTGTGTAAGTGTGTGTCTGCTGTATATGTACAGATGCTATAATACTGCGGTACACTCTGTATGTGTATGTGTTTTATAATGATGTCAGTGATGTCTTCAAACAGGTGCTATGATTCTACAAACTTCAGTGATGTCTTCAAACAGGGGACATGTCTCTAAAAACTTCAATGATGTCTTAAAACAGATGCCATGTCTGTATAACTTCAGTGATGTCTTCAAACAGGTGCCATGTCTGTATAACTTCAGTGATGTCTTCAAACAAATGCCATGTCTCTACAAACTTCAGTGATGTCTTCAAACAAATGCCATGTCTCTACAAACTTCAGTGATGTCTTGTGGAGAGGTGCCATGTCTATACAACTTCAGTGATGTCTTGTGGAGAGGTGCCATGTCTTTACAAACTTCAGTGATGTCTTGTGGAGAGGTGCCATGTCTGTACAAACTTCTGTGATGTCTTGTGGAGAGGTGCCATGTCTGTACAACTTCAATGATGTCTTGTGGAGAGGTGACATGTCTGTACAACTTCAGTGATGTCTTGTGGAGAGGTGCCATGTCTTTAAAAACTTCAGTGATGTCATCAAACAGGTGCCATGTCTCTACAAACGTTAGTAATGTCTTCAAACAGGTGTCATGTCTCTACAAACTTTAGTAATGTCTTCAAACAGGTGCCATGTCTCTACAAACTTTAGTAATGTCTTCAAACAGGTGCAATGTTTCTGCAAACAAACTTTAGTAATGTCTTTAAACAGGTGCCATGTCTCTACAAACTTTAGTAATGTCTTCAAACAGGTGTCATGTCTCTACAAACTTTAGTAATGTCTTCAAACAGGTGCAATGTTTCTGCAAACAAACTTTAGTAATGTCTTTAAACAGGTGCCATGTCTCTACAAACTTTAGTAATGTCTTCAAACAGGTGCAATGTTTCTGCAAACAAACTTTAGTAATGTCTTTAAACAGGTGCCATGTCTCTACAAACTTTAGTAATGTCTTCAAACAGGTGCAATGTTTCTGCAAACAAACTTTAGTAATGTCTTTAAACAAGTACCATGTATGTACAAATTTTGTGATCTTTTGCGGAGAGGTTCTCATGTTATCACATTCAGCTGGTCCCCTAATTGTCTACACACATATACATACACCCATAAATAACAACTTTATCATCTACTCTATAAATTCGTCTCTCAAACAGAGATGACAGCATGTTTGTTACCTCTGTGTTTCTCACACTGAGATGATAGAACATCTCTTACCTCTGCCAGATGAGATGCTAGCCACTTGTAAGACTCCAGATATCCTTGTAGGGTATGTGGGCCATAGATGGTTGAGGCACCTTCGTATCGCTGGATCTACAACAGATACAACCCCAGTGTCACCTCTTGCTCATGAAGTGATGATTTCATCATCAGTTTTATCATCAATTACCTAGCCACCAGTGAGGGTAATCAGACATGTCACACCTCGTCACATCCATCAGTGTGTATCATTGCATATTTTCATGCCTTTTTTCAATATGTCAAACGGTTGTTAAACATTTACTCTTATCAACTTCTTCTATTTTTGTGTCCACAAATCTTCCAGTGGTTACAACACGTACTAGTTTTTCCTCTTCTCTTAACGTTGGCAACAATGGTGAATGACTCTTGCAATGTTTGTGACAAGCTGTCTGATTCTCTTAGCTTCTTGTGAAACACAGGGTTCTCTACACTATCATGTGCCTTTTGCAAGTGATAATTTGTGTGAGAGAACTGTCACTCCATGTGGATGCCAGTGTGATAGACTGACTGTTGACGGAGGCCACCACTACTGTTAGAAAGACAAGAGAAGTTGTAGAATGTATAAAACATGAGCTTAGAATGACACAACCACAAGACACAGAATGTTGGGTGTGCAGTAATTAACTCATGAAGACAGAACAAAGCAAAAAGGAGAAGAAAAAGGAGAGTGGAAAAAAGGGGGGGGGGGGGATGTAATCAATACTTCATGAAAACAACACCACTAGACACACAAGACTGTACCTGGTATTCTTCAAAGGTTGTGATGGGAGGGTGGGGGGGGGGGGGGGGGGGGTGGGGGGGGGGGGGGGGGGCAGATGTAATCAATACTTCATGAAAATAACACCACTAGACACATAAGACTGTACCTGGTATTCCTCAAAGGTTGTGATGTAACTGGAATACTCATTAGCCAGGCCAGCTATCACAGTTGTGGTAGTTGTTGGCCAGCCAGTCTCTACCAGTGTCTGTGACATCAAGATTAAACATACATGTCACAAAACAAGACAAAACATACATGTCACAAAACAAGATAAAACATACATGTCACAAAACAAGATAAAACATACATGTCACAAAACAAGATAAAACATTCATGTCACAAAACAAGATAAAACATACATGTCACAAAACAAAATAAAACATACATGTCACAAAACAAGATAAAACGTACATGTCACAAAACAAGATAAAACATACATGTCACAAAACAAGATAAAACATACATGTCACAAAACAAGATAATCATAAATAATGACACAAAACAAGACAAACATAAAAAATGATACAAACAAGACAAACATAATTAGTGACACAAAACAAGACAAACATAAAGAATGACACAAGACAAGAAAAACATAAAAAAATGACACAAGACAAGATAAAACATACATGTCACAAAACAAGATAAAACATACATGTCACAAAACAAGATAATCATAAATAATCACACAATACAAGATAAACAAAACTAATGACACAAAACAAAGTAAACATAAATAATAACACAAAACAAGATAAACAAAACTAATGACACAAAACAAGATAAACATAAATAATGACACAAAACAATATAAACAAAACTAATGACACAAAACAAGATAAACAAAACTAATGACACAAAACAAGATAAACATAAATAATGACACAAAACAAGACAAACATAAATAATGACACAAAACAAAACAATCATAAATAATGACACAAATCAAGACAATCATAAATAATGACATAAAACAAGACAATCATAAATAATGACACAAAACAAGACAATCATAAATAATGACATAAAACAAGACAATCATAAATAATGACACAAAATAAGACAATCATAAATAATGACACAAAACAAGACAATCATAAATAATGACACAAAACAAGACAAACATAAATAATGACACAAAACAAGACAATCATAAATAATGAACAAACAAACCAAATTTATTTTCAAAAGATCACAAAATAGGCAAGCAGGCCCATCTTACTTATAACTCTTCCAAGCACCCATCTTTCACACAGCAGTTGTATTTTATCAGTAAGGTATGTTGTGCTTTTTAAAACTATGCATTTATGATCAGCAAGAAAAAACAAAAGCATGGGTTGTAAAATACATAAAGACACCGTGGGTGCACAAACACATACACACACACAAACAAACACACACACACACACACACACACACACCAACTCACTCACTTAACACACACATACATCCATCCATTCATCCATTCAATCCAATCAATCCATCCATCCATCCGTCCGTCCGTTCGTCCGTCCGTCCATACATACATATATACATACATACATACATACATACATACACATACCTACATACACACAGACACACACAGGGACACATACACATACACAAAAACACACACAGACATACACACACAGATAAATACATACAGACACACATGTAGAAGAACATACACCAACAGACACACACACACACATATAGACACAGACAGACACATATACACAGACACACACAGACACCCACACATACAGACATACAGAGACAAACACACAGACACACTCACACAGATACATACAGATACACACATTTATGCACAGACACACACACAGACACAAAGATACACATACACACATGCAGACACACACAGACACATACACAGACAAAAACAGACAAAAACTCACAGACATACATGCAGACAAGCATGCAGACAAACTCACAAACAGACACATATACACAGACACACACACAGACACACAGATCTATACACCCACACACAGAGATATACTCACACACACATACACACAGGACACAAACACATACATATGCACACAGACACACATGCAGACACACACACTTAGACACACAGAAATATGCACACACACACCACAGACACACACACACAGACAAACACACACAGATAACCGCAGACTCAAACACAGACACACACACAAACAAACATACAGAGATAGAAATAATCATACATGCAGACTAACTCAGACACAGACACACATGCAACAACAAAGACACACACACACACAAACACACAGAAGCACACAAAGACACATACACACACACAAAATACAAGCAGCCATACACATACTCATACATACTCAGAATCATACGTACACAACAACAAGTACACATACATATGTATTACACACATACATGTCACACAAACACATACATACATATATATATATCATACACACCTTATTTAATAATAAACTGATAATACAATATGGTTTACTAACCACATTTTAGGTGGCATAGAATCACTTGTAAGCATCAAGTGAAAAAGTCTGTGGTTAAATAAATAGGAACTGTATTTTTCAGATCATGTGGAAGATGGTTCCATAAATGAGCAGCAGAATATGCTAAACTTGTTTCATACAAGTCTATTCTAGGTTTAGGAAAATGTAATAAACTTAGTCGCTTGCTGTTGTGAGATAAAATTTTATAAATAAATTTGGCCTTGTTAAAAATTAAACGTTTACTTAATGACAGAAGTTTAAAATGGCTATATAGATGATTGTTATTGATGTTTTCAATCTTAAACCTGGCGTAAAGAGCAATTTTAAAGGGAACTAAGTTATTTGATTTGGTGAAACCGTTGCAAGATGTGGAGCAGTAGTCGACATGTATTTGGACGTAGGATTCGTAAAATATTTTTCATGTATCTTTATCCAAGAAGTGCTTAACTTTAGCAAGCTGATAAACTTTTTGTTCAATTTTCTTAGTTATGACATAAACACAAGAGTTGAAAATTAAATGATTGTCAATTTTAAGGCCTAAAAAAATATAAAAAAAACAAGACAATACACATGCACAGAAAGAGAATTCAATAATGTCATGAAGGTAAAAGGAATGCAGTAGCTATGGCTGTACTTACAGAGTAGACAGTGTTTCTCATCCTGCGCCCAGCCATGGTGCTGAAATATACAAGTGGCTACAACATGTCAAGCATGGGCAGCAGATTGCAGGATGGACATGTTTGAGTTGTCAACAGATCACTCACATTACAGCTAGGACATTTGGTGAGAAGGTAAGGCAGGTAGTTCCCACCTGAGTCACTGACACAGAGACATAAAGATATACTAGTTCTCACATGAGACACAAAGAGACATAAAGATACATGACTTCCCAACTAGGACACTGACATACAGACATGAAGATACACTACTTCCCACCTGAGACACTGACATAAAGACATGAAAATACACTACTTCCCACCTGAGACACTAAGACACAGGCATGCAGATTCACTGGTTCCCAACTGAGACACTGACAGCCAGATAGGAAGATACACTAGTTGCCAGCTGAGACATTGATGCACAAACATAAAGATACTCTAGTTCCCAACTTAGATACTGACACACAGACATGAAGGTTCACTAATTCCCTCATGAGATACTGACACACAGACATGAAGATTCACTAATTCCCTCATGAGATACTGACACACAGACATGAAGGTTCACTAATTCCCTCATGAGATACTGACACACAGACATGAAGGTTCACTAATTTCCTCATGAGATACTGACACACAGACATGAAGGTTCACTAATTCCCTCATGAGAAACTGACACACAGACATGAAGGTTCACTAATTCCCTCATGAGAAACTGACACACAGACATGAAGGTTCACTAATTCCCTCATGAGAAACTGACACACAGACATGAAGGTTCACTAATTCCCTCATGAGAAACTGACACACAGACATGAAGGTTCACTAATTCCCTCATGAGAAACTGACACACAGACATGAAGGTTCACTAATTCCCTCATGAGAAACTGACACACAGACATGAAGGTTCACTAATTCCCTCATGGGACACTGACAAATAGACGTGAAGGTTCACTAATTCCCTCATGAGACACTGACACACAGGCATAAAGGTTCACTAATTCCCTCATGAGACACTGACACACAGACATGAAGGTTCACTAATTCCCTAATGAAACACTGATGAACAGACATGAAGGTTCACTAATTCCCTCATGAGATACTGACACACAGCCGTGAAGGTTCACTAATTCCCTCATGAGATACTGACACACAGACATGAAGGTTCACTAATTCCCTCATGAGACACTGACACACAGACATGAAGGTTCACTAATTACCTCATGAGACACTGACACACAGACATGAAGGTTCACTAATTCCCTCATGAGATACTGACACACAGACATGAAGGTTCACTAATTCCCTCATTAGATACCGAAACACAGACGTGAAGGTTCACTAATTCCCTCATGAGATACTGACACACAGACATGAAGGTTCACTAATTCCCTCATGAGATACTGACACACAGACGTGAAGGTTCACTAATTCCCTAATGAGATACTGACACACAGACATAAAGGTTCACTAATTCCCTCATGAGATACCGAAAGACAGACGTGAAGGTTCACTAATTACCTCATGAGACACTGACACACAGACATGAAGGTTCACTAATTCCTTCATGAGATACTGACACACAGACATGAAGGTTCACTAATTCCCTCATGAGATACCGAAACACAGACGTGAAGGTTCACTAATTCCCTCATGAGATACTGACACACAGACATGAAGGTTCACTAATTCCCTCATGAGATACTGACACACAGACGTGAAGGTTCACTAATTCCCTCATGAGATACTGACACACAGACATGAAGGTTTACTAATTCCCTTATGAGATACTGACACACAGACGTGAAGGTTCACTAATTCCCTCATGAGACACTGACAGACAGACGTCAAGGTTCACTAATTCCCTCATGAGAAACTGACACACAGACATGAAGGTTCACTAATTCCCTTATGAGATACTGACACACAGACATGAAGGTTCACTAATTCCCTTATGAGATACTGACACACAGACGTGAAGGTTCACTAATTCCCTTATGAGATACTGACACACAGACGTGAAGGTTCACTAATTCCCTTATGAGATACTGACACACAGACGTGAAGGTTCACTAATTCCCTTATGAGATACTGACACACAGACGTGAAGGTTCACTAATTCCCTTTTGAGATACTGACACACAGATGTGAAGGTTCACTAATTCCCTTATGAGATACTGACACACAGACGTGAAGGTTCACTAATTCCCTCATGAGACACTTACAGACAGACGTCAAGGTTCACTAATTCCCTCATGAGACACTGACACACAGACATGAAGGTTCACTAATTCCCTCATGAGACACTGACACACAGACATGAAGGTTCACTAATTCCCTTATGAGACACTGACACACAGACATGAAGGTTCACTAATTCCCTAATGAGACACTGACATACAGACGTGAAGGTTCACTAATTCCCTCATGAGACACTGACACACAGACATGAAGGTTCACTAATTCCCTCATGAGAAACTGACAAACAGACGTGAAGGTTCACTAATTCCCTCATGAGACACTGACAGACAGACATGAAGGTTCACTAATTCCCTCATGAGACACTGACAGACAGACATGAAGGTTCACACCTGAGCTCTCCAGGGACGGCGATGATCACCAGCTGACCCAACCGCACAATCTGGTGGTCCACTATTTGGGGCTGCCACAGATAAGGTACGGTGATCTGACAATGAAAGGTAAGGCACAGGGATCTGATAATAGTAGGTAAGGTATGGTGATCTGACAATTTAAGGTAAGTTACAGTGATCTGAAAATCAAAGTTAAGGTATTGTGATCTGACAAAGGTAGGTATGGTGATCTGGCAATCACAGGTAAAGTATGATAATCTGACAATCACAGATCACAGGTAAGGTATGGTGATCTCACAATCATAGGTAAGGTATGGCGATCTGACAAAGATAGAGCTCTCACCTCACTGGTGTCCACTCAAACAATGACCACAGAGAGAGCTCTGATCTTACCGATGTCCACTCAAACAATGACCATAGAGAGAGCTCTGATCTTACCAATGTCCACTCAAACAATGACCATAGAGAGATCTCTCACCTCACCGGTGTCCACTCAAACAATGACCATAGAGAGATCTCTGATCTTACCGATGTCCACTCAAACAATGACCATAGAGAGATCTCTGATCTTACCGATGTCCACTCAAACAATGACCACACACAGATAGAGCTCTCACCTCACTGGTGTCCACTCAAACAATGACCATAGAGAGATCTCTGATCTTACCGATGTAAACTCAAACAATGACCACAGATAGAGCTCTCACCTCACCGGTGTCTAGCAAGATCGGCTTGGGACTGTGACACTGAACCTGCTGGGCTGTTGGAGCCTTGATGAGGTTTCTCACAAAGTCCCACACAGGACTGCCACTGGTGCTCCCTGACATTGATTGATACATACTGATTGTAAGGATGTGTCTAAAGCTATAATTATTATCTCCCACACAGGACTGCTACTGGTGCTCCCTGACATTGATTGTCACACAGATTGATTGTAAGGATGTGTCTCAAACTATCATTATTTTTTCTAACACAGGGGACAATGGCTCAATAAACAGCATGACTTCTCTCACACTAAACCTCCTGACCTCCTGCAGGTCACACCTGGCTGCTGTAGCCATTATGTTGCCCCAATGATAACTTCTTACAAGGTTGAACTGGGTATCCAGGATCTGCCTTGTTGGTGCATCTTCCAGACTGAGATTTGTAAATTTCAGGATGATATGATAAACCATTAGGTAGCATCCCAGAGGGGACAAAAAGATTGATCAATTAATTTTAAACTAAAATATTTTGGTCAAACTAAATACCACAACAAGCAGGGGTGGACTAGCAGGACAATGGACACTGGGTGTGATAGCTGACACTGGGTGTGATAGTTGACACTGGGTGTGATAGTTGACACTGGGTGTGATAGCTGACACTGGGTGCGATAGCTGACATTGGGTGCGATAGTTGACACTGGGTGTGATAGTTGACACTGGGTGTGATAGTTGACACTGGGTGTGATAGCTGACACTGGGTGCGATAGCTGACATTGGGTGCGATAGTTGACACTGGGTGTGATAGCTGACATTGGGTGTGATAGTTGACACTGGGTGTGATAGCTGACACTGGGTGCGATAGCTGACACTGGGTGTGATAGCCGACACTGGGTGTGATAGTTGACACTGGGTGTGATAGTTGACACTGGGTGTAATAGCCGACACTGGGTGTGATAGCTGACAATGGGTGTCAGGTGTGTGCACTGATGACAGCAAAATTATCCCGTGGACCTGCTATATGACAATGATGGTGATTCCATGTGCTAACAGAATAAATACTGAAAAATCTCTTGTGGTCATGTGACTAAACCACTGGTCTCCCAGTTTGAAGGTCGTGTGGTTCCTGTTTGGGAGATCCCTGGGAGGCACCTGATGAAGCTACAGTGGTTGTGCTTTGTGTAATATTATCAGGATACAACCAGTTGCTATGCACAGAGAGACTGAAGCATGCAGAATAATACCTGGTGCGATCAAGCTGACTAGCTTGCCTTTAGAATGCTTTAAAACATCACAAGATTGCAAACCTGGTCAATCAAATGTAAAAACTACTTAAACAAATGACCAATACGAACACATACATGTGTGCTTGCATGTGCACACACATACACACACACACACACACACACACACACACAAACACAGATACACAACATGACACAATAACAGCAGTACAATAACTCAGCCAGGTCTACCTTGTTTAAAGTCAAAAGCCCCAGGACCATCAGTTGTTCCTGCAGCAAAACTGTAGCCCATGGCAGGTTTACACAGCTGTGCCTGCGGGTGCCAGAAATGGGAAGTTTAGCTGGGGTGGGACAATGTACAAGTGTAGATGCCTAAGCTGGGGGAAGGGAGGGAACAATATGGAACTACAAGTATATCTGGTATTACCTAACATTACTGTATCCAGGGTGATGCGACAGTTGCAAGTTTAACATAAATGGGCCATGTTTAACATAACAGTGTCTAGCCTGGGACATGTTTAACATAGCTATGTCTAGCTCAGGACAAGCTGAAACTAACTGTGTCTAGCCTGGGACATGTTTAACATAGCTGTCTAGCCTGGGACAAGTTTAACACAGCTGTTTCTAGCCGGGGACAAGTTTAACATAGCTGTCTAACCTGGGACAAGTTTAACATAGCTCTCTAGCCTGGGACAAGTTTAACATAGCTTTTTAGCCTGGGACAAAATTATCACAGCTCTCCAGCCTGTGACAAGTTTATCATAGCTCTCTAGACTAGGACAAATTTATCATAGCTTTCTAGTCTAGGACAAATTTATGCTTTCTAGCCTAGGACAAGTTTAACAGCTGTGTCTAGCCTGTGGTGTGACAGTTTACTGTTTTTTGATTTTTTCATCTAACCTCGAACTTCCGGCATGGCGGCGCTAGCAGCCAAGATTATTTCAAGGCAAACACTTTGCGTAGTGAATCGGTTTTCATCGCTCAAATCAAACCTCTTACCAATTTAAACACATGACGGCAATGTTTTCCACCGCTGCATACTCGAGAATATCAGGTTTCCTTACTTGTTACTTCGTTGGTTACACTGGCTGTGGTAGGTCGGGTTCGCAAATGGAAGAAGAAATAATTACAGACATTTGGAGTTCTATTTTTACAAATAGTACCCCTTTCTTTGCGATGACATCTCATCAGGCTACACACACATAGTTATGTCGTACAGGGGCGACACTGTGCTGATGGGCGTTACGTCTCTGGCCCCTTCCTCAGCACGACGGCACCACTGGGGTGACGTTAATAAACTCACTAATTAAATATGGTAGAAATTTTTAATGAACTCAATCCTCGCCAGAGCTACGGATTTCGTGCGTCCGTTCTGAGATCCGATGCAGCAGCATCTACACGCTACAGAAGGAAAAGAGGACAACATGGTAGAAAACGGCGCAATAGACGTGCTGGTGCACGCAAAAACCAATCTAAATCAGAACGCCTTGGCAAGGGAAATCTCCGCATTCTTTGCTGGAACTGCAGGAGTGTTCGACAGAGAGGCCCAATCTTAGAGAAACTGATATATGATGCCGATGTAATCGCACTTCAGGAGACCCGGCTGAATACAGAAGAAGCTCTGAATGTCTCAGGCTTCCAAACGTACTACAACAGCAAACACCTAGGCCAAGCGATCCTGGTCAGGCGCGGAATAACATCCTCAGTTGTAGACACGAGTGCATGGAACAACAGCGACATTCAGGTCCAGGCCATAAAGGTAGACGGGAGTAAACCTTTCACTCTAATCAACATCTATGCCTGTAATGATAAAGTTGACAAAGAAAAGTGGACAATTTTAAGTGACATATGCGAGCAGATAACCACCGACATCATTATGTGTGGGGACTTCAATGCCAAAGGGCGTCTATGGGGCAATCTGACGGTCAATAAACAGGGCGAGGCACTGGAGATAGCACTAACAGACACGGATTTAATCTGCTTGAATGATGGCAGACCCACCAGAATCCCCGACAGAGAAGGTGATACTGACAGTGCCCTTGACCTCACGCTGGTCTCTCCCAGTATGAGTGCACTTTGCCAGTGGGGCGTACTGGGACATCATGGAAGCGACCACCTTCCATGTTGGATTCTGGTCAAAAAACAATCTGCACAAGGTATCAGAGACCAGCCACTTCTTTCCAGTATGCTGCAAATCAGCCTGATGTAATTGGGCGTCTGCGAGACAGGTCACGCAGAACACCGGGAAAGAAGAAAGCTATCTTTCAACAACCCCCATGGTGGACTCTTGAAGTCGCAGAAGCCTGGACAGAGAAACGAGGTGCCACCAAAGACTGGGAGAAATGCAGAAAGTCTTCGAATTTTACTGAGGCGCAGAAACAAGACGTTAAACACAAAAAAGACAGACTCACTGAACATTTTAAACAACTCGCAAAGGAGTCTAAGCACACAATGTGGGAACATTTTTGTCAAGAAATAGGTTACGAAAAATCTCTCAGAAAATTCTGGCGGCTCCACCAAAAGATGAACGGAGGCAAACAAACCTCTGTTATGCCCGAGCTAAAGATGGACAACGGGGTGGTGTTAAAATCGGATAAAGACAAAGGGGAGGCTATCCTGCACAGATTTCTCCTGCAGACGGAAAAGAAAGACAGTGAAGATAGGGAGCAGATGAAACAGAATTTACATGATATCCAGATGGCTGAAATCGAGGAAGACGATGATACAGTATACATCTCAACGGACTGCATCAAAGCAACACTGAAGACCTGTCCAGACACAGCTCCAGGTCCTGATGGCATTAGATACAGCAACTTCAAAAGCCTCGATATGACAGATATGGATGAACTATCCACGATTTTTAACAACACCATGAAAACTGGCATTATTCCTGATGACTGGCTCCACAGCTATCTCAGACCAGTTCCTAAGCCAGGAAAAGACCACACGAGTATAAATGGCTATAGGATCATAACACTTCAGAACACGGTAGGAAAACTCATGGAAAAAATCGTTGCCAGAACGTTAACCCAAAAATTAGAGTCGGGTGGTCTATTCCCCGCTACACTAGGTGGTTACCGACCAGGAAGAGATACATGGTGCAATGCTGCAGTATTTGCTTACGACACATTTGAGGGTTTCCAGGAGGGAATGGAAACTGCTGCAGCCGCTATTGACTTAGAAGATGCGTACAACAGCGTCCCATACAACATGCTCTAGACTGCTGTTGGATATGCAGATAGAGACAAAGTTGGTCAACTGGATCGCAGCAGCGTTTTTTGAAAGAACAGTGTCGCTTCGATGTGGTAAATGGGCATCCGAACCTCAACGAGTCCTAATGGGTCTGCCACAGGGATCACCACTGTCGCCTGTGCTCTTCAACGTGTACACAGCAGGAGTCACTAGTGCACAACGCGTAGGTCTAGGTAGAACAATGTCGTATGCAGATGATATTCTTGTTTACCGTCGAGGTAAAAACAGGCAGGAAATTACACCCACACTACAACACGAACTAGACAGACTTAGTGAGTGGTGCCAGGAATCAAGAGCTCAGGTGAACCCGTCCAAAGCCTCCTTAACATGGTTCTCTCTGAATACCCACATCGTGAGTACACCAACGCCAGTCGTAGGCATCTGTGGTGTGGACATCGAGAGAACGGACACCATGAAATACCTGGGTATGACATTTGACAGATGCTTGTCATACAAATGCCACGTAGACAACGTCATACTTAGAGCCAGAAAAGGTCTGACAGCACTCAAGGTGCTAGCAGCAGCTGATATTGAACAACGCCTACTTTTCCTTCTCTATCAAGGGCTTGTGCTTAGCGTCATTGACTATGGTCTTGGCCTCCTCACTGTCAGCAAAACCCAGCTAGAAAGACTGGACCGAGTACAAAATGAGGCCATGAGACTCATACTCGGCTGCACAAAAGACACCTCCTGCAACGCCATGCGTTATGTCCTGGGTTTGCCGACGATGACTAGCAGATACAAAGTGGCACAAGTCAAGGCTTACATGAGGGTATCGGCAGACGTTAACCACCCATTGCACAAAGCTATATACGACACAAAAGGAACGCGTCTCAAAAGAGGCCGCTCTTGGATGGCAAAGGCTGAGAATTTGATCCAGCAGGTATGTGACCTAGGCGTTATCAGGCACGGAAAAGAATGGATGAATACACCAGTAGACATGCATGGCATCTCTAAGGTTGTCATCACACTAGGAAGGTACTGTCGGGATCAGATTCCTGCGGCCATAGACACAGAAGTAAGGGAACTGATAGATCAGCATTCAGACCCAGAAGATATCATCATCTACACAGATGGGTCCGTGAAGCGCGGATCAAGGTCAGCATGGGCATACACAGCGCAAAGAAGGGGGAAAACAATACATGAGGACAGCGGCGCTTACCAGACAACCACGTCAAGCATGACCATGGAAATAGCCGCTGCTTCTAGAGCTTTAGCATGGGTATCCGAGCAAACCGCCACACAAGCAGTAATTGTCTCAGACTCAATGAATATGCTTCAGAAAATAGCAACAGGCAGTATGCGCTCTGAATGGATAGAAAGCATTCGGAAATCGCACTTAACTTCCGTAACCTGGATCTACACACCGGGTCATGCGGGCGTAAAGGGAAATGAGCGAGCGGACCAACTGGCAAGCACAGCACTAATGATTGCGGGAAAAAGCATGGAAAGAGCAGATATCGTTAACGCTGTACAGACTGGGCTAGTGGATAATATCGAATCCCTGACACTAACACGATTGCGTGACATGGGAGTTAAGCATGGTGAAGCACGTCTTTGCCGTCTGCGAGGCCGAGAAAGGAGACAATATAACCAGCTTCTCATGGGGACAATTAGTAGAAGTACTTTGGAGTGGCTGCTGCTTCGGAGGACTGCGCACGCATGGGTATGCCCAATGTGCAGTGACGTCGATTGTGATAACAAAACACAAAATAACATTTTGTAGGAAGTCGGCATTCCGAAACCCAAGTTCAAGGTGTCTCCTTCATGCCAAAGAACTGCATGACTGTTGGGTGAACAGTCGTTAACGAAGGCAGTCAGGTCGTTGTAGGGGCGATGCCTGCTGGTGGATGTAATGTCCTAAGTCCCTTTCCCAGCTAATAGTGAGAGTACTGCTGGGGTGACCATTTGTTAACCCCTCACATAATGCTTCAAGTCACAGTGGACGCTAGGCACGGCCACTTAAAAAAATTTTTTTTTTAAGCCGTGGCAGTTCTGCCAGGCGGTGGCCGTTGCATTTTTGCTCCATTTGTAGACTGGAAGGATATAGTTTCGTCACCCAGCTTCTGAGTTGAGTGCATGGTGTGACACTGTGAGCTACGAGTGTTTTTCGTTGGCACAGGAGCGGAGCAACAATGGGGTGACCCGTTTGCTATGATGCTGAAACTAGGATTACCAGATTACCAGATTATCAGTTTACTGTTTAATGGTGAGGTATCATCAAGTGGTGACAGTCTACTGTCTGGTAGTGGGGTATCACCAAGTGGTGACAGTCTACTGTCTGGTAGTGGGGTATCACCAAGTGGTGACAGTCTACTGTCTGGTAGTGGGGTATCACCAAGTGGTGACAGTCTACTGTCTGGTAGTGGGGTATCACCAAGTGGTGACAGTCTACTGTCTGGTAGTGAGGTATCACCAATTGGTGACAATCTACTGTCTGGTAGTGAGGTATCACCAAGTGGTGACAGTCTACTGTCTGGTGGTGAGGAATCACCAAGTGGTGTGACAGTCTACTGTCTGGTAGTGGGGTATCACCAAGTGGTGACAGTCTACTGCCTGGTAGTAAGGTATCACCAAGTGGTGGCAGTCTACTGTCTGGTAGTGAGGTATCACCAAGTGGTGGCAGTCTACTGTCTGGTAGTGAGGTATCACCAAGTGGTGTGAGAGTCTACTGTCTGGTGGTGAGGTATCACCAAGTGGTGTGACAGTCTACTGTCTGGTAGTGAGGTATCACCAAGTGGTGACAGTCTACTGTCTGGTGGTGAGGTATCACCAAGTGGTGACAGTCTACTGTCTGGTAGTGAGGTATCACCAAGTGGTGACAGTCTACTGTCTGGTAGTGAGGTATCACCAAGTGGTGTGACAGTCTACTGTCTGGTGGTGAGGTATCAACAAGTGGTGACAGTCTTCTGCCTGGTGGTGAGGTATCACCAAGTGGTGTGACAGTCTACTGTCTGGTAGTGGGTTATCACCAAGTGGTGTGACAGTCTACTGTCTGGTGGTGAGGTATCACCAAGCGGTGTGACAGTCTACTGTCTGGTGGTGAGGTATCACCAAGTGGTGACAGTCTACTGTCTGGTAGTGAGGTATCACCAAGTGGTGACAGTCTACTGTCTGGTAGTGAGGTCTCACCAAGTGGTGACAGTCTACTGTCTGGTAGTGAGGTATCCCCAAGTGGTGTGACAGTCTACTGTCTGGTAGTGAGGTATCACCAAGTGGTGACAGTCTACTGTCTGGTCATGAGGTATCACCAAGTGGTGACAGTCAACTGTCTGTAGTGAGGTATCACCAAGTGGTGACAGTCTACTGTCTGGTCGTGAGGTATCACCAAGTGGTGAGACAGTCTACTGTCTGGTCGTGAGGTATCACCAAGTGGTGTGACAGTCTACTGTCTGGTGGTGAGGTATCACCAAGTGGTGATAGTCTACTGCCTGGTGGTGAGGTATCACCAAGTGGTGACAATCTACTGTCTGGTGGTGAGGTATCACCAAGTGGTGACAGTCTACTGTCTGGTGGTGAGTTATCACCAAGTGGTGTGACAGTCTACTTTCTGGTAGTGAGGTATCACCAAGTGGTGTGACAGTCTACTTTCTGGTAGTGAGGTATCACCAAGTGGTGTGACAGTCTACTTTCTGGTGGCATAATTGTGATTAGCTGTAGGTGGTTTGAGATAAAGGTAACAGGGTACATTGCAACAGGCAGACAGACAGACAGATAGACACACACACAGATTACATGACTGACCTTGGATCCATCAGGCAGTGTGACATTCTGTCTGGGCATGTCCACATAGGAATGTCTGAAGTCTACTGGTCCACTTAACTTGAAGCTGGCAGAGTTGTACAGGTTCTGTGGATGGATTCAAGCATGTATAACCTCTGACACTGACTGCAGTGTGAACTAATGGATTCAAGCATGTATTACCTCTGACACTGACTGCAGTGTGAACTGATGGATTCAAGCATGTATTACCTCTGACACTGACTGCAGTGTGAACTGATGGATTCAAGCATGTATTACCTCTGACACTGACTGCAGTGTGAACTGATGGATTCAAGCATGTATTACCTCTGACACTGACTGCAGTGTGAACTGAGTCACTCAACTTACTGCCTGTGGCTGTGGTAGACTTGGCTCATCTCATTACAAAGCTGCCTGCACTTTCACAAAGATAGAAGGTGCTATACCTGTTTTCTTCAACCAAGAACAAACAACTTAAGGAGTTGTGTGCATTTCAACAGTCATTCAGTGGTATGACATCAAAACATCTAGTGCCCAGGCAGAATTGCAAACATGATCAGATTAATACAGAAAACAGATGAGAAAACAATATACTATGAGAACTGGTGATGAATACATGCTTTTAACTATGGGGACCACCGATCTACACATACAACACTAGGAACCAATGATGTCAACCCAGAACAATGAGAACCACTGATGAACACATATCATTTACACACAGAACAATGAGAACCATTATTGTACACAGATAAAGTACCCAAAGAACGATGTGAACCACTGATGTACACTAATAACCAACAATGAGAACAAGTGATATACAACAATAAAAACTGTTGATGATAACACAGAACAATGAGAACCACTGATGTACACATACAACAACGACAACCACTGATTTACACATGCTACAATGAGAAAAATTGATGTACACAGACAACTAATGACAGCCACTGATGTACATACTGACAACTAACAATGACAGCCACTGATGTACACACTGACAACTAACAATGACAGCCACTGATGTACATACTGACAACTAACGATGACAGCCACTGATGTACATACTGACAACTAACAATGACAGCCACTGATGTACACATACAACAACGACAACCACTGATTTACACATGCTACAATGAGAACAATTGATGTACACAGACAACTAATGACAGCCACTGATGTACATACTGACAACTAACAATGACAGCCACTGATGTACATACTGACAACTAACAATGACAGCCACTGATGTACATACTGACAACTAACAATGACAGCCACTGATGTACATACTGACAACTAACAATGACAGCCACTGATGTACATACTGACAACTAACAATGACAGCCACTGATGTACATACTGACAACTAACAATGACAGCCACTGATGTACATACTGACAACTAACAATGACAGCCACTGATGTACACACTGACAACTAACAATGACAGCCACTGATGTACATACTGACAACTAACAATGACAGCCACTGATGTACACACTGACAACTAACAATGACAGCCACTGATGTACACACAGACAACTAACAATGACAGCCACTGATGTACAAACAGAAAACCAACAATGACAGCCACTGATGTACACACAGAAAACCAACAATGACAGCCACTGATGTACATACTGACAACTAACAATGACAGCCACTGATGTACACACAGAAAACCAACAATGACAGCCACTGATGTACATACTGACAACTAACAATGACAGCCACTGATGTACATACTGACAACTAACAATGACAGCCACTGATGTACATACTGACAACTAACAATGACAGCCACTGATGTACATACTGACAACTAACAATGACAGCCACTGATGTACACACTGACAACTAACAATGACAGCCACTGATGTACACACAGACAACTAACAATGACAGCCACTGATGTACAAACAGACAACCAACAATGACAGCCACTGATGTACACACAGAAAACCAACAATGACAGCCACTGATGTTCACACTGACAACTAACAATGACAGCCACTGATGTACAAACAGACAACCAACAATGACAGCCACTGATGTACACACAGAAAACCAACAATGACAGCCACTGATGTACAAACAGACAACTAACAATGACAGCCACTGATGTACAAACAGACAACTAACAATGACAGCCATTGATGTGAACAGACAACCAACAATGACAGCCACTGATGTACACACAGACAACCAACAATGACAGCCACTGATGTACACACAGACAACTAACAATGACAGCCACTGATGTACACACAGAAAACCAACAATGACAGCCACTGATGTACACACAGACAACTAACATTGACAGCCACTGATGTACACACAGACAACTAACAATGACAGCCATTAATGTGAACAGACAACCAACAATGACAGCCACTGATATACACACAGACAACCAACAATGACAGCCACTGATATACACACAGACAACCAACAATGACAGCCACTGATGTGAACAGACAACCAACAATGACAGCCACTGATGTACAAACAGACAACTAACAATGACAGCCATTGATGTGAACAGACAACCAACAATGACAGCCACTGATATACACACAGACAACCAAAAATGATAGCCACTGATGTACACACAGACATCTAACAATGACAGCCACTGATATGAACAGACAACCAACAATGATAGCCACTGATGTGAACAGACAACCAACAATGACAGCCACTGATGTACAAACAGATAACCAACAATGATCACTCACCAAAGCCTCATGAAACTGATTGGAGCCAATGATCTGTGTGCTCTCAAACATATCCTGGCCAGGACCAAAGGCCACACAGAGTTCATTCTAGAACACAGGTCAAAGTAGATACATGGGTCACAGGTCAAAGTAGATACATGGGTCACAGGTCAAAGTAGATACATGAGTCACAGCCAAAATTAGATACATGGGTCACAGGTCAAAGTAGATACATGGGTCACAGCCCAAAGTAGATACATGGTTCACAGCCCAAGGTAGATACACAGGTCACAGCCCAAAGTAGATACACGGGTCACAGCCCCAACCAAACATTACCATCAGTCATCAAGATAGTGTGCTCTATTTATGCCAGCTATATCCTGTTCAACCTATTAGAAATGTAGTTCATCATGGATGGTAGCGAAAGGCACCAACAGATCAGCAGTTGCACACGCGATCAATTTTAATCACATAATGGCACCACCAATATTGCAACAACAGGCATCGCGCCATTTGGTAAATCTAAAATTCCCACCACCACGTTGGTCACCGTCAAAAACCAATTTAAAATTAAATCTGCAGCTCACAGTGTCACGCCATGCACTCAATTCAGAAGCTGGGCGAGAAAACTATCAGACTACAAATGGAGCAAAAATGCAACAGCCACCGTTTGGCAGAAGCAAAAATTTGCTACAGCTCAAAACTGGCTGTGATTAGCACAGGTGTCCAGGTTTCTTTCCCAGGGAAGTGACCTACTTATACACACATGCAAGCATGCACACAAAACTTGCTGTTACAGGTATGGTATATCCCAGGTCAGAGTGATAGGACCACACAGGTATATACACACACACCTGGCCATTGAGGGTGTTGGTCTATCTACCCAGGTCAGAGTGATAGGACCACACAGGTATATACACACACACCTTGCCATTGAGGGTGTTGGTCTCTCTACCCAGGTCAGAGTGATGGGACCACACAGGTACATACACACACACCTGGCCATTGAAGGTGTTGGTCTCTCTACCCAGGTAAGAGTGATGGGAACACACACACATACACTCACACATACACACATATACATACACACACACAAACCTTGCTATAGATGCTTGTCTGTCTATCACAGTGATAAGTGATAAATGCACACACACATTCACACACATACAAACCTTGCTATAGATGCTTGTCTATCACAGTGATAAGTGATAAACGCACACACACATCCACACACATACAAACCTTGCTATAGATGCTTGTCTGTCTATCACAGTGATAAGTGAGAAACACACACACACGTCCACACACACATACAAACCTTGCTATAGATACTTGTCTGTCTATCACAGTGATAAGTGATACATGCACACACACATCCACACACATACAAACCTTGCTATAGATGCTTGTCTGTCTATCACAGTGATAAGTAATAAATGCACACACACATCCACACACATACAAACCTTGCTATAGATGCTTGTCTGTCTATTACAGTGATAAGTGATATATGCACACACACACACACATCCACACACATACAAACCTTGCTATAGATGCTTGTCTGTCTATCACAGTGATAAGTGATACATGCACACACACATCCACCACATACAAACCTTGCTATAGATGCTTGTCTGTCTATTACAGTGATCAGTGATACATGCACACACACATCCACACACACAAACCCTGCTATAGATGTTTGTCTGTCTATCACAATGATAAGTGATAAACGCACACACACATCCACACATATACAAACCTTGCTATAGATGCTTGTCTGTCTATCACAGTGATAAGTGATAAACGCACACACACATCCACACACACATCCACACACACATCCACACACATACAAACCTTGCTATAGATGCTTGTCTGTCTATCACAGTGATAAGTGAGAAACGCACACACATATCCACACACATACAAACCTTGCTATAGATGCTTGTCTGTCTATCACAGTGATAAGTGATACACGCACACACACATTCACACACATACATCCACACAAACACACATCCACACACACATCCACACACATACAAACCTTGCCATTACAGGTGCTTGTCTCTTTATCACAAGGAAGACCGGTGTCCAGACAGTGAGGTCCCCGTGTGTTGGGTGACACATCCCCCAGATTACTTTGAGCAAAGGCGGCAACAAATGAACCCTGCAGACACAATGTCCCGAGTGACTATGGTGTATCTTTCAACATATCAACCCTGAAGACACAATGTTCCAAGTGACTATGGTGTATCTTTCAACATATCAACCCTGCAGACACAATGTTCCAAGTGACTATGGTGTATCTTTCAACAAATCAACCCTGCAGACACAATGTTCCAAGTGACTATTGTGTATCTTTCAACATATCAACCCTGCAGACACAATGTTCCAAGTGACTATGGTGTATCTTTCAACATATCAACCCTGCAGACACAATGTTCTAAGTGATTATTGTGTATCTTTTAACATATCAACCCTGCAGACACAATGTTCCAAGTGACTATTGTGTATCTTTCAACATATCAACCCTGCAGATACAATGTTCCAAGTGACTATTGTGTATCTTTCAACATATCAACCCTGCAGATACAATGTTCCAAGTGACTATGGTGTATCTTTTAACATATCAACCCTGCAGACACAATGTTCCGAGTGACTATGGTGTATCTTTCAACATATCAACCCTGCAGACACAATGTTCCAAGTGACTATGGTGTATCTTTTAACATATCAACCCTGCAGACACAATGTTCCGAGTGACTATGGTGTATCTTTTAACATATCAACCCTGCAGACACAATTTTCCAAGTGACTATAGTGTATCTTTTAACATATCAACTCTGCAGACACAATGTTCCAAGTGACTATGGTGTCTATGGTGTATCTTTCAACATATCAACCCTGCAGACACAATTTTCCAAGTGACTATGGTGTATCTTTTAACATATCAACCCTGCAGACACAATTTTCCAAGTGTCTATGGTGTATCTTTCAACATATCAACCCTGCAGAAACAATGTTCCAAGTGACTATTGTGTATCTTTCAACATATCAACCCTGCAGACACAATGTTCCAAGTGACTATGGTGTATCTTTCAACATATCAACCCTGCAGACACAATGTTCCAAGTGGCTATGGTGTCTATGGTGTATCTTTCAACAAACAACTGTCATCAGTTAAACATGCACTTCATTCCCTGTGAGGCCTCTATCTCATCAAGCAGCAATGACTTTGAAGAAAGTGACACTTGACACCGCCCACCCGAAACTGCCTCTTGTGTCAAATCCAATGCCTCAAAGATGTTGGGCAATGTAAACTTTATGTCCAGACTGTACTGAATTGTATTTCTTCTCTCAGTATATTGCATCAGTCGAGGTTTGCACCCAAGTACTTTTATTTGATTGTCATATCATTGACTTGTATGTGGCCGGAGTTTATATCTTTTCCCTGTCTTCTTTTCGCCATGTATTCTGTCTTATCTGGATTGATAACTAGCCCCATTTTGTGAGCTACTTCTCTTAAGAGAGTCAGTGCTTTTGCTTATTTGGTTCCTTTTACTCCATCTATATCTATTATCTTCTGCATAAGTATTCTTGATTTTCTCCTCTAGTCATTTCTCTTCCTCTTTTTATTCTTCTTCTTCCCATTCTCTGGCTGTAAACTCTATGGAAAGTTCCAGTTGTTCATCCCCTTCTGGAATTAGTTCAGTTGCAGAATCTAAGTGTTGGGTGCACATCCATTCTTCAGATCTGACTTGACTTATCTGTATGCAGACTATTAGTTCCTTGCCTCTCAAGCAGACATACTCCAAAGAAAGCCCTGAATCAGGTGACTCCCATGACACGCTAGTTGGGCAGTCAGCTGCGCTATTCTTGTTGTCAACATAATGGGGCCCTGGAACCTGCACGATGAGCCTACAGTACAGTTTTCAATCTTCTCCTCCATAGTCCATGCTGTGTGGCGTCGGGAGTCATGTCTTTTGTCTCATGTACTTTCAATCTTCTCCTTCAAGTCTATGCTGTGTGGCATCAGTAGTCATGTCTCTTGTCTCATGTACTTTCAATCTTCTCCTTCATAGTCCATGCTGTGTGGCGTCGGTAGTCATGTCTTCTGTCTCATGTACTTTCAATCTTCTCCTTCATAGTCCATGCTGTGTGGCATCAGTAGTCATGTCTTTTGTCTCATGTACTTTCAATCTTCTCCTCCATAGTCCATGCTGTGTGGCGTCAGTAGTCATGTCTTCTGTCTCATGTACTTTCAATCTTCTCCTTCAAGTCCATTCTGTGTGGCGTCAGTAGTCATGTCTTTTGTCTCATGTACTTTCAATCTTCTCCTTCATAGTCCATGCTGTGTGGCGTCAGTAGTCATGTCTTTTGTCTCATGTACTTTCAATTAACTCTGACACAGATGATCATCCATAGTCCATGCTGTGTGGCAACGGTAGTCACGTCTTTTGTCTCATGTACTTTCAATCTTCTCCTTCATAGTCCATGCTGTGTGGCGTCTGTAGTCATGTCTTTTGTCTCATGTACTTTCAATCAACCCTGACACAGATGATCATCCATAGTCCATGTTGTGTGGCGTCGGTAGTCATGTCTTTTGTCTCATGTACTTTCAATCAACTCTGACACAGATGATCATCCATAGTCCATGCTGTGTGGCGTCGGTAGTCATGTCCTTTTTTTCATGTACTTTCAATCAACCCTGACACAGATGATCATCCATAGTCCTGGCTGTGTGGCATCGGTAGTCATGTCTTTTGTCTCATGTACTTTCAATCAACTCTGACACAGACGACCATCCATAGTCCATGCTGTGTGGCGAGGGTAGTCATGTCTTTTGTCTCATGTACTTTCAATCAACTCTGACACAGATGATCCTCCATAGTCCATGCTGTGTGCCGTGGGTAGTCATGTCTTTTGTCTCATTTACTTTCAATCTTCTCCTTCAAGTCCATGCTGTGTGGCGTCGGTAGTCATGTCTTTTGTCTCATGTACTTTCAATCTTCTCCTTCAAGTCCATGCTGTGTGGCGTCGGTAGTCATGTCTTTTGTCTCATGTACTTTCAATCTTCTCCTTCAAGTCCATGCTGTGTGCCATCGGTAGTCATGTCTTTTGTCTCATGTACTTTCAATCTTCTCCTTCAAGTCTATGCTGTGTGCCATCGGTAGTCATGTCTTTTGTCTCATGTACTTTCAATCTTTTCCTTCAAGTCCATGCTGTGTGGCGTCAGTAGTCATGTCTTTTGTCTCATGTACTTTCAATCAACCCTGACACAGATGATCATCCATAGTCCATGCTGTGTGGCGTCGGTAGTCATGTCTTTTGTCTCATGTACTTTCAATCAACTCTGACACAGATTATCTTCCATAGTCCATGCTGTGTGGCATCAGTAGTCATGTCTTTTGTCTCATGTACTTTCAATCAACCCTAACACAGATGATCATCCATAGTCCATGCTGTGTGGCGTCGGTAGTCATGTCTTTTGTCTCATGTACTTTCAATCAACTCTGACACAGATGATCATCCATAGTCCATGCTGTGTGGCGTCGGTAGTCATGTCTTTTGTCTCATGTACTTTCAATCAACTCTGACACAGATGATCCTCCATAGTCCATGCTGTGTGGCGTCGGTAGTCATGTCTTTTGTCTCATGTACCTTCAATCAACTCTGACACAGATGATCCTCCATAGTCCATGCTGTGTGGTGTCGGTAGTCATGTCTTTTGTCTCATGTACTTTCAATCAACTCTGACACAGATGATCATCCATAGTCCATGCTGTGTGGCGTCAGTAGTCATGTCTTTTGTCTCATGTACTTTCAATCAACTCTGACACAGATGATCATCCATAGTCCATGCTGTCCAGTGCTGTGTGGCGTCAATAACTCACACAGATGTCTTTCCATGCTGTGTGGCGTCATCTACTTTCACTTCAACTCTGACACAGATGATCATCCATAGTCCATGCTGTGTGGCGTCGGTAGTCATGTCTTTTGTCTCATGTACTTTCAATCAACTCTGACACAGATGATCCTCCATAGTCCATGCTGTGTGGCGTCGGTAGTCATGTCTTTTGTCTCATGTACTTTCAATCAACTCTGACACAGATGATCATCCATAGTCCATGCTGTGTGGCGTCAGTAGTCATGTCTTTTGTCTCATGTACTTTCAATCAACTCTGACACAGATGATCATCCATAGTCCATGCTGTGTGGCGTCGGTAGTCATGTCTTTTGTCTCATGTACTTTCAATCAACTCTGACATAGATGATCATCCATAGTCCATGCTGTGTGGCGTCGGTAGTCATGTCTTTTGTCTCATGTACTTTCAATCAACTCTGACACAGATGATCCTCCATAGTCCATGCTGTGTGGCGTCGGTAGTCATGTCTTTTGTCCCATGTACCTTCAATCAACTCTGACACAGATGATCATCCATAGTCCATGCTGTGTGGCGTCAGTAGTCATGTCTTTTGTCTCATGTACTTTCAATCAACTCTGACACAGATGATCATCCATAGTCCATGCTGTGTGGCGTCAGTAGTCATGTCTTTTGTCTCATGTACCTTCAATCAACTCTGACACAGATGATCATCCATAGTCCATGCTGTGTGGCGTCGGTAGTCATGTCTTTTGTCTCATGTACCTTCAATCAACTCTGACACAGATGATCATCCATAGTTCATGCTGTGTGGCGTCAGTAGTCATGTCTTTTGTCTCATGTACCTTCAATCAACTCTGACACAGATGATCATCCATAGTCCATGCTGTGTGGCGTCAGTAGTCATGTCTTTTGTCTCATGTACCTTCAATCAACTCTGACACAGATGATCATCCATAGTCCATGCTGTGTGGCGTCGGTAGTCATGTCTTTTGTCTCATGTACTTTCAATCAACTCTGACACAGATGATCCTCCATAGTCCATGCTGTGTGGCGTCAGTAGTCATGTCTTTTGTCTCATGTACTTTCAATCAACTCTGACACAGATGATCATCCATAGTCCATGCTGTGTGGCGTCGGTAGTCATGTCTTTTGTCTCATGTACTTTCAATCAACCCTAACACAGATGATCATCCATAGTCCATGCTGTGTGGCGTCAGTAGTCATGTCTTTTGTCTCATGTACTTTCAATCAACTCTGACACAGATGATCATCCATAGTCCATGCTGTGTGGCGTCGGTAGTCATGTCTTTTGTCTCATGTACTTTCAATCAACTCTGACACAGATGATCATCCATAGTCCATGCTGTGTGGCGTCAGTAGTCATGTCTTTTGTCTCATGTACTTTCAATCAACTCTGACACAGATGATCATCCATAGTCCATGCTGTGTGGCGTCGGTAGTCATGTCTTTTGTCTCATGTACTTTCAATCAACCCTGATACAGATGATCCTCCATGTTATTCACCTTGGCTAGAATCTTCTGTAGGTGGTTTGACAAGAAGCAGGGATGGTACATCATGTGGCCTTACAATCAATGTTATATGACAAGGATGTCACTTGCTGGCTGTATGTGTTACCATATTATCAGTGTACTCGCCACATAGTCTGTTTGTGTTGATCAGCTTCTTTGATATCCAAAGTCTTGCATAGCATTGCACAAACTGTCCCGATGTACACTATGTCTGTTTAAAAACATCATGTACCTGTCTTCTATAGTCCCAGGTGAATGTCTGTTTAAAAACATCATGTACCTGTCTTCTATAGTCCCAGGTGAATGTCTGTTTAAAAACATCATGTACCTGTCTTCTATAGTCCCAGGTGAATGTCTGTTTAAAAACATCATGTACCTGTCTTCTATAGTCCCAGGTGAATGTCTGTTTAAAAACATCATGTACCTGTCTTCTATAGTCCCAGGTGAATGTCTGTTTAAAAAACATCATGTACCTGTCTTCTATAGTCCCAGGTGAATGTCTGTTTAAAAACATCATGTACCTGTCTTCTATAGTCCCAGGTGAATGTCTGTTTAAAAACATCATGTACCTGTCTTCTATAGTCCCAGGTGAATGTCTGTTTAAAAACATCATGTACCTGTCTTCTATAGTCCTAGGTGAATGTCTGTTTAAAAACATCATGTACCTGTCTTCTATAGTCCCAGGTGAATGTCTGCATCTTCCCTGTGTGGGTTGCAATGTCCCAGTTGGGGGAAAACATGAACAGAGCCAAAGTGCCCTAACAATCACATCTTAAAAGGTGACTGATGGTATCTTATAGCTTGCAGAGACAACAGTGACATTCCTCTATAAATGTCACATTTGTACTCATCTCCCCTTGTAGAGACAACAGTGACATTCCTCTATAAATGTCACATTTGTTTTCATCTCCCCTTGTAGAGACAACAGTGACATTCCTTTAGGAATATCACATTTGTACTCATCTCTACTTGCAGAGACAACAGGGACATTCCTCTATAAATGTCACATTTGTACTCATCTCCCCTTGCAGAGACATCAGGGACATTCCTCTATAAATGTCACATTTGTACTCATCTCCCCTTGTAGAGACAACAGTGACATTCCTCTATAAATGTCACATTTGTACTCATCTCCCCTTGCAGAGACAACAGTGACATTCCTCTATAAATGTCACATTTGTACTCATCTCCCCTTGTAGAGACAACAGTGACATTCCTTTAGGAATATCACATTTGTACTCATCTCTACTTGCAGAGACAACAGGGACATTCCTCTATAAATGTCACATTTGTACTCATCTCCCCTTTCAGAGACACAGTGACATTCCTCTATAAATGTCACATTTGTACTCATCTCCCCTTGTAGAGACAACAGTGACATTCCTCTATAAATGTCACATTTGTACTCATCTCCCCTTGTAGAGACAATAGTGACATTCCTCTATAAATGTCACATTTGTACTCATCTCTCCTTGCAGAGACAACAGTGACATTCCTCTATAAATGTCACATTTGTACTACCCTTGCAGACAACAGTGACATTCCTCTATAAATGTCACATTTGTACTCCCCTTGCAGACAACAGTGACATTCCTCTATAAATGTCAAATTTGTACTCATCTCCCCTTGCAGAGACAACAGGGACATTCCTCTATAAATGTCACATTTGTACTCCCCTTGCAGACAAAAGTGACATTCCTCTATGTCACATTTGTACCCATCTCCCCTTGCAGAGACATCCGTGACATTCCTCTATAAATGTCACATTTGTACTTCCCTTGCAGACAACAGTGACATTCCTCTATAAATGTCACATTTGTACTCATCTCCCCTTGCAGAGACATCCGTGACATTCCTCTATAAATCTCACATTTGTACTCATCTGGCACAGATCTTTAAATGCAGTTGATGATCACATTCTTGAACAAGTTCAGCAGCAATTCCATCAGCATTTAATATTTGTAAAAGAACTTATAACATAGAATATAGTACTTCTTAAAAATCAGGTTCTTCAATATTTGGTTCAAATGATAGTGTCTCTTCCTGGACTGAGAGGGGGGGGGGGGGGGGGGTGTATCTGATTATGTTTCACTATTTTACAACAACTACTTCTGTATTTCCTCATTGTCATACATCATATTGCCACTGTTTTCTTTAAAACTATGTGATCTGTTTTAGTGTTGTATTGCCTTGGTTCTGTATACAAGTTAGCTGAAAGAATCCCAGAACTGGTTTTTCTATAAGCAGGGGCTAATCTGCTTATGTCCTTGCTTAACTTCAACAAGCGAAACCTAATGTGCCGGCACATAATGTTAGTTAAACAGGTCACGTCTGCAGAGAAAATCTGAGCAGAATTTGAGATTCAGCTGTGAGAGACAAAACGGAAACTACTTGAGAGAAACAACTGCTTGATAACATGCAGAAGTCACAAGTACAGGGCTGCACTACCTGAACAGGGAGGCCATCTCCATTGACCTGTTGCTCAAACAGCTGTGAGGCATAACCCTTGTTGTCTGAGCTCAGCAGCTGGTTGCTGTTGTTCATACTTGTACCGTGGACTGCAAACCAGCTGTAGGTGGACACATATACCATGGATGTCTATATTCCTCAGTGACAGACACAAAACACACATTCAGACATACATAGTGACACACTGAGTATCGCACACACAGTGACACACACAGTATCACACACACACAGTAACACACAGTATCACACACACAGTGACACACACAGTATCGCACACACAGTGACACACACAGTATCGCACACACAGTGACACACACAGTATCGCACACACAGTGACACATATAGTGACACATATAGTGACACACACAGTGACACACACAGTATTGCACACACAGTGACACACACAGTGACACATAAAGTGACACACACACAGTGACACATAAAGTGACACAAACACAGTGACACATAAAGTGACACACACACAGTGCCACATAAAGTGACACACACACAGTGACACATACAGTGACACACACACAGTGACACATAAAGTGACACACACACAGTGACACATAAAGTGACACACACACAGTGACACAAACAGTGACACACAGTATCACACACACAGTGACACATAAAGTGACACACAAACAGTGCAACAGACAGTGGCTGTCCTGTCTCTCTGTAGTCAGCCCAAACATAGAAGACATAAACAACAGAAAGCAGAGTTGCCACATGTTGCTGAGATGTACTGAAATATGCCAGGCAATCTCTTGTTTACTGTCTGCTTTATTCAAACGTTATGATTTTGTCCTTCTCTTCATACAGGTGATGCACACAGGTAAAATCAAGTATTCTGTGAAAACTGAAACTATCACTTCAAACAGAGGTCATACTCAGAAATGGCACAGTCCAGTTGTGGTGCCAGTGAACCTATCAATGCTCCGTCTCCCACAGCAAGGGTTGTGAGGCACAGACTATGAATGTTTACAGATCCATCCATGCTGGCAGCACAAACAAATCAAAACCCAACTATCTTTAAATGCAAGTTTCTTCAACATCGTATCTTGAACTAGCCATCTTTCAAAAAGAAATGGAAAACTATCTTCTATGCACTTTTATGTCCAATGTTATATTGTTGTACAATTCAAGCTACCCATCAATGACCCATCCAAGCATAGATGGCAGACAGCTGGTGGGAGAATATTCTACATCAACAATGACAGTCAGTTCAATAGACTGTCAGTACAGGAGACTGTCAGTACAGGAGACTGTCAGTATGGGAGACTGTCAGTACGGGAGACTGTCAGTACAGGAGATGAGACTGTCAGTACAGGAGACTGTCAGTACAGGAGACTGTCAGTACATGAGATGAGACTGTCAGTACAGGAGATGAGACTGTCAGTACAGAAGACTGTCAGTACAGAAGACTGTCAGTACAGAAGACTGTCAGTACAGGAGACTGTCAGTACAGAAGACTGTCAGTACAGAAGACTGTCAGTACAGGAGACTGTCAGTACAGGAGACTGTCAGTATAGGAGACTGTTAGTACAGGAGACTGTCAGTACAGGATATTGTCAGTACAGGAGATTGTCAGTACAGGAGACTGTCAGTACAGGAGCCTGTCAGTACAGGAGACTGTCAGTACAGGAGACAGTCAGTACAGGAGACTGTCAGTACAGGAGACTGTCAGTACAGGAGATAAGACTGTCAGTACAGGAGACAGTCAGTACAGGAGACGAGACTGTCAGTACAGGAGACTGTCAGTACAGGAGATGAGACTGTCAGTACAGGAGACAAGACTGTCAGTACAGGAGATGAGACTGTCAGTACAGAAGACTGTCAGTACAGAAGACTGTCAGTACAGAAGACTGTCAGTACAGGAGACTGTCAGTACAGGAGACTGTCAGTACAGGAGACTGTCAGTACAGGAGATTGTCAGTACAGGAGACTGTCAGTACAGGAGATGAGACTGTCAGTACAGGAGATGAGACTGTCAGTACAGGAGACTGTCAGTACAGGAGATTGTCAGTACAGGAGACTGTCAGTACAGGAGATGAGACTGTCAGTACAGGAGACAAGACTGTCAGTACAGGAGACTGTCAGTACAGGAGACTGTCAGTACAGGAGACTGTCAGTACAGGAGATTGTCAGTACAGGAGATTGTCAGTACAGGAGACTGTCAGTACAGGAGACAGAAGGTTTACACCAGTGTTTCCCAACTTGTTTTGAGCCATGCCAAACCTAAGCCTTTCTAATATTCCTATGCCTCTAGTGTGACATCGCCATATGGTTAACTTAAACTCTGGATGAGCCCATTTTTGAACTGCTCCCCTTTACAGTGAAATTGTATTCTGCACACCCTCTTTTAACAATATAATTGCCCCCTGTGTGTGTCACTTGATCTAAGGCTACCTGATCTCACCTGATCTTAGAAGATCTCACCTGATCTTAGATGATTTTACCTGATCTTAAAGATCTCACCTGATCTTAGATGATTTTACCTGATCTCACCTCTGACTTGATCTCACCTGTCTTACATGATCTCACCTTCTCACATGGTCTCCCATTCACTCACCTATCTTACATGATCTTGTCTGTCTAATACAATCTGACATGTATTACATGATCACACAGTCTTACATAATCTTATCTGTTTCATCTTACTTGTCTGACATAATCTCACCTGTCTGACATAATCTCACCTGTTTCAACAAATTTTTTCTTAGTTTGACATGATCTCATCTGTCTGACATGATCTCATCTGTCTCACATGATCTCATCTGTCTCACATGATCTCATCTGTCTTACATGATCTCATCTGTCTAACATGATCTCATCTGTCTGACATAATCTCATCTGTCTCACATGATCTCAACTGTCTTACATGATCTCATCTGTCTAACATGATCTCATCTGTCTGACATGATCTCATCTGTCTGACATGATCTCATCTGTCTGACATGATCTCATCTGTCTTACATGATCTCATCTGTCTGACATGATCTCATCTGTCTGACATGATCTCATCTGTCTGACATGATCTCATCTGTCTTACATGATCTCATCTGTCTTACATGATCTCATCTGTCTGACATGATCTTATCTGTCTTACATGATCTCATCTGTCTGACATGATCTCATCTGTCTTACATGATCTCATCTGTCTGACATGATCTCATCTGTCTGACATGATCTCATCTGTCTGACATGATCTCATCTGTCTCACATGATCTCATCTGTCTCACATGATCTCATCTGTCTTACATGATCTCATCGGTCTGACATGATCTCATCTGTCTGACATGATTTCACATATCTCACATGATCTTATCTGTCTCACATGATCTCATCTGTCTAACATGATCTCATCTGTCTGACATGATTTCATATATCTCACATGATCTTATCTGTCTCACATGATCTCATTTGTCTAACATGACTGACATGATCTCATCTGTCTCACATGATCTCATCTGTCTCACATGATCTCATCTGTCTAACATGACTGACATGATCTCATCTGTCTAACATGACTGACATGATCTCATCTGTCTCACATGATCTCATCTGTCTAACATTACTGACATGATCTCATCTGTCTCACATGATCTCATCTGTCTCACATGATCTCATCTGTCTAACATGACTGACATGATCTCATCTGTCTAACATGATCTTATCTGTCCTACATGATCTCATCTGTCTCACACGATCTTATCTGTCTCACATGATCTCATCTGTCTCACATGATCTCATCTGTCTAACATCACTGACATGATCTCATCTGTCTAACATGATCTTATCTGTCCTACATGATCTCATCTGTCTCACACGATCTCATCTGTCTCACATGATCTCATCTGTCTCACATGATCTCATCTGTCTCACATGATCTCATCTGTCTCACATGATCTCATCTGTCTTACATGATCTCATCTGTCTAACATGAAGGACATGATCTCATCTGTCTTACATGAACTTATCTGTCCTACATGATCTCATCTGTCTCACATGATCTCATCTGTCTGACATGACTGACATGATCTAACATGTCTCACATGATCTCATCTGTCTGACATGATCTCCCCTGTCTCACATGATCTCCCCTGTCTCACATGATCTCATCTGTCTCACATGATCTCATCTGTCTGACATGATCTCATCTGTCTGACATGATCTCACCTGTCTCACATGATCTCATCTGTCTCACATGATCTCATCTGTCTGACATGATCTCACCTGTCTGACATGATCCCATCTGTCTGACATGATCCCATCTGTCTGACATGATCCCATCTGTCTGACATGATCTCATCTGTCTGACATGATCTCATCTGTCTGACATGATCTCATCTGTCTTACATGATCTCATCTGTCTTACATGATCTCATCGGTCTGACATGATCTCATCTGTCTCACATGATCTTACCTGTCTGACATGATCTCCCCTGTCTCACATGATCTCACCTGTCTGACATGATCTCATCTGTCTGACATGAACTCATCTGTCTGACATGATCTCATCTGTCTCACATGATCTCATCTGTCTGACATGATCTCCCCTGTCTCACATGATCTCCCCTGTCTCACATGATCTCATCTGTCTCACATGATCTCATCTGTCTGACATGATCTCATCTGTCTGACATGATCTCACCTGTCTCACATGATCTCATCTGTCTCACATGATCTCATCTGTCTGACATGATCTCACCTGTCTGACATGATCCCATCTGTCTGACATGATCCCATCTGTCTGACATGATCCCATCTGTCTGACATGATCTCATCTGTCTGACATGATCTCATCTGTCTGACATGATCTCATCTGTCTGACATGAACTCATCTGTCTGACATGATCTCATCTGTCTCACATGATCTCATCTGTCTGACATGATCTCATCTGTCTCACATGATCTCATCTGTCTGACATGATCTCATCTGTCTGACATGATCTTACCTGTCTGACATGATCTCATCTGTCTGACATGATCTTACCTGTCTGACATGATCTTACCTGTCTGACATGATCTCATCTGTCTGACATGATCTTATCTGTCTGACATGATCTCATCTGTCTGACATGATCTTACCTGTCT